AAAAACAAGGAAGCTAAAAATGGGAAAGCAGAGCCCTTTTTTCAATTTTGATTGTTAAACAAATGTTTTTCGATTCGTTTTTTAATCATTTTCAAACATGGTTATTTTGTTTTTAGAAAAAACTTAGTTTTTAAAAGCGATCGTTTTTTTAAAACAATAAGCGACTGTTTTTTATATGATTGTCTTCAACAAAACGATCATTAACGTAAGGTTGTCATTGTCTTACAAGCAGGAAAAAGTTGTGGGAGAGCTAAAACTTCTTGACATTTTCTTAAAAACTCCTCCATAATAAGTGCCGATCGCCTGTCAGATCGGTTTCCTCTCTCCTCCTGTCCTTGTTAACATTTGTTAACGAAGGGTTGTCGTTATCGAAAAGTAGTCGTTTACAAAGGTTTGTCTTTAACGATTGTTAACGAAACTAATAACTTTTTAAAACGATCGTTTTGAACACGACCGTTTTTAAAAATGATTTCAAATAAAAAACGATCGTTTCGTTTATGTCTTTTCGTCGTAGTTTTCATAACGAAACGATCGTTAAAAAATGAAAACGATCGATCCCTAATTGCAAGTAGTTCTGTTTGTGAGCTCAGTAGCTCACTGTACATTGCTATAGTTCGTATGAGACTTAGGTAGGGATGTTAACGTTTTCATTTAAAAAAAAACAATCGTTATATTAGGAAAACGATGACGAAAAATCGAAAACGAAACGATCGTTTTAAGCTTCATGTAAGACGATATTCAAAAAGGTTGCATGTAATTTTTTTTTCAAAAACGATCGTTAACATAATTGTCAATAAAATTTTTTTAAAAAACGATCGCTTTAAAAAAAATTATCGTTTTTAGACAATCGTAAAAAAAGTGAGGAATTTCCCCAGATTCTCCAACCGTGGTGACTTTTTTTAAGGAATTTCCGAGGAATTTCTCGAGAATCATTTCCTGTAACTGATTCCTCGAAAAATTCTCGAGAAATTCCCTAGAATTGGTACCCAAGATGAGAGATTTTTGTGGGATCACAGTTTTTAGACTCAGTTTCGAGAAATTCTCCGGAATTTTTCTCCACAAAATTCCTCAGAATTTCTTCAGAAATATTCTCTGGAAATTCCTGAGAAATTCTTAGGACTTTGTCACCATTACGGATTTTTAGGGGAATTTATTAAGAGAATTAGTTTCGAGAAATTCTTGGGAATTTCTCCGGAATTTCACCCCATGAAATTCCTGAGAAATTCTCCTGACTACTTCTCCGGAAATTCCGGAAAATATAGTTGTTAAGTTATTCACTACTTTTGTTAGTGAATATTTCAAAATATTCCTGAGGAACTCTTGAGAAAATCTTGGGAATAGTTCCAGGGAAATTCCCAGTAATTGGTTCTGAAGACCTTTTCGCTACAAATTTTCTCTGGTTTTTCTGAAGAATTGGTAACAAGAAATTCCCTAGAATTGGTTACAAGAAATTCCTTGGATAGAGTTACGAGAAATTCCTCGGAATGGGTTACAAGAAATTCCTCGGACCTGGTTTCTCGGAATGGGTTACGAGAAATTCCTGGGAAAAGCTGTCGACTTTTTCACCGGATTTTCCTGTGAAAGATTCCTGGGAATTTCCGCGGATTTTCCGCCAATATTACTGGAGAAGTTGGCTAATGAGTGATTTTAAGATGGATTTAGTATAATGAGCCAGTAATTTAATAATCATTAGACTTTGTGATATTTTAAGATGCAATACTCAGTCAAATTTGTCAAAAATGTCATTGTAGAACAGTTTAAGAATTCAACACACAGAATATTAATCTTAAGTAGAATTGAAAAAATGGTTTGAGTTGTGCTTTTTTGCGTGACGCAGCTGGATTTTTTAAAATCACACTTTAAAGGCCTTAAATATACCATTTAAAAAAGTAACTCTTCCCGGAAGAGTCAAATGTGGTGGTACGGAAGGGGAAATAATGTTGGCTCATGGCTACCGGAAGAGAAAAAAGCTGATATGTGGCACGGAAAGGGAAATGGTGGTGGCTCATGGCCGCCTGCCTTCTCCCGCTCGTCTTGATTCTTACTTACAGGTCTCACGCTCTCAGCAAAAATCGATGAGAATTTTTCAAAGCATAAGTTAGTTAGAGCAGTAATATCAAAGCCCAAGGCGGTGTGACACTTCAAAGTCAACCCTGTCTTAAAAAACATGAGACTGTTCATAAGCAGACTGAATCTCTGTGTACTACTTTGATATTTAATAGTTTGTTTACCTTTTTTATAAATACAATATTTGTGTACAAAGTTGCATATTTATTTATTACAGTTTAGGCCCCAAAGTTTGATCATTTTTATCTTTTTAAAAAGCTTTCTATACGTCATGAAAAATTCTCGAAAATTCTGCATTTTGCTTTTAAGCAGTAGCATTTTAATTGTGTACGAATAAATAGATTATTATATAAATATTAAAGAAATTAATTATTAGCCTTCAATCATTTTAATTTATAAATTAAGTTTATAGACGTAAAAATATTACTTCTTTAATTTTACAGAATATTTGAATTTATTCATTATCAATTGTCGTAAATAATATACAGTGTCTCAATAGTCAATATAAAAGGGAAAACTGGAATTATTGAATATGTTTAAAAGTATTGTATATACCAACAATAAAACAGCATGAAATGACACGCACCTCTGCCACTTTAGTAAAAGTAAATTCAACCCAAGGAGCTATATACAGGAACGCCCAACTCAGACCTACGCATATTGTGTTCCTGTACACTCTGGGAGGAATGTAAACAAACCCAGTATCCCCATAACAGTTATAGGAAAGGATTAAACTCTGATAAACAGAGTGATTTTACAGTCCAACAAAATAAACTATTTAAAAAAATAGTGCGGATACAACTTAATTATTTAAATAAAATTGTGGCTTTCAGATCGATATAGGAAATTTATTTTTGAGTAATTTCCTAATAGACGATTTTAATCCTTCTTTCCAAGGTTAAATAAAATACAACTTATTTTGAATCTTATTCCTTGAGAACGGCTAACCTTAACTGTTTTCAAGAACATGAGTGCGGAAAATCCAGCGCAAAAAAAGTCCTCAAAATAAGCTCTAATAGATGTATGTGGGTTTATCTCCAAAAAAAAACTTCATACAAAAGTTTCAGAGTCGGCGAAGAGAAAACCAACTATGATTGGATAGACTTAAAATCCAGAGGATCCTTGTTTTATTCATCCAAAGATCTATTGGAGGAAGTTGAAAAATATGAGAAAATATTTCAAAAACTACATGGAAAGTCTCTAAGGACATGATCCTATCGAAAAAACAATTTCAACTGTTACTGTAATGAATAAAATATGGCCTCGGGAGGATGTAAAACTTTTTGTAAATGTAAGGTTTTTCAGTAAACTGAAAAAACTTAATGAAAGCTTGAAGGAAAATAGTAAAAAAATGTCAAAACATTGAAACAAACTGCTCAGTTTATGTTTGACGATCTGATTTTTAAAAAAAAGAATGTATAAATTTTAATAAATAAATGTATCAAAATATGGATAACATTTTATTCATTTTTTCTTTAATTTTATGTTAGAAGGTTTTATTCATATATAAATGACTAATATTTAATGTGCATTTCCCGAAAAAGTTTTTAAAGGTACCGTTGTGAATCATGCATATATCTTTATATGCTAGACATTGAATTATGTCTACTGTTCCTTTTAGCATTGATTCCCATAGAATAAGATCTTGTTTTTGCTTTTATTAAAACATCCCAATTTTACCATTTAACGTTTCACAATTTGAATATAATCTTGGTAATTATCATTTCCCTCTCCTCACGTCTTTAAAGCATATACTCCCAAGTAACAAATATTCTTGCGTTTTATAATCATTATTCATGTCTACGATGTAGCAATTTATTCTGAATTATTTCTAGAATCTAAGTTTCCACATTTTATCGGTTAAATTAGAGAATATGAATGATTTATTTTCAAGCATCATAAACGAACAGTTTCCCGCATTTCTAGTTTAATCTATATTGTAAGAACAAATGATATTGATATTTTGATTTCTAAATGCTGTAATGATTTTTAAATTACTAGAAATTCAGGGCGCTTCGCGCCCTTCTTTCTAGGCTTTCAGGGCGCTTCGCGCCCATCTTTTATTTAAACTTTTAATTGTGGCTTTATCTCTGAACATCTTCTCTTTGTACAGTATAAAACAAAAACAAAAAAGTTTTTTTTATAATATTTTTCCATACTGCAGTCCTTCAATTATCATACAGGGAAATTTTCATCTTTCTAAACATCCCAACGAATGATTTGACAGGTTCTTTAAGTTCTGCTTTTTTTCTAATATAATGAGAAAAAAAACTGTTCAAATATGTTATAAATGATAAACGATCTGATAAATAGTTCTATTTATCAACTGTTTGCAGAAGAATAATCAAATAAGTTAGCGTGATGGATAACATTGAAGTAACTGTACTGCGCTCTACAGTGAAGTATCCTCCTCCAGTAATTGGTTCAATCTTGCGGAATTTTAATCCTATTTGATGGTACCTACATAATAAGCAGATCGCATTGGGAATTTGTACTTTCGTTTGAAGCAGAATATTATAGGTTTTTAGTAAGCAAGTTAAGTTTGGGTCTATTCCAGATTAAGTATGGTCACAGAGCAACAAGGGCACTGTGATTTAAAGGTCTTACACTCCATGAGAATTTTGCCAATTACTTCTAAAAACCAAAGTGCTTTATAGTGCTAAAATGTACATGTAAAAGGCTATAGAAAAGCAGAAGGGAGTTAGAGCGGTAAAGGCAGCTAAATGAAAGGTGAAGTATACATCATTTTCGAATAGTTAAGCTTGTTAGTTGTAAACAAAAATTGCAAAAAATAAATTTCAGAATATAAATTATTTATTAAAGGAACTGAAATTTTGCCAAGTACTAAATTTTTCTAATTCCTTTATGTTAGCAATCTGATGGTGTTAAACTTTGATATTTTAAATTTATAGCTTAAAATATTAAATGTCTACTACATCGGGTTGCAAAGATATAGGGATTTAAAAATTAGAGTTTGTGGAAAAAACTCATTTCCAAATTTCAAAACTTATGATACACATGACAAAAGTTTCAATAAGAGTAAGTCAAAAGGGGGGGGGACTTCAAGAAGCCCCCGGCATTGTTAGGGTTAAGAAGGACGGATTCCACAATCCGTAGCTGAAGGCCAATTGCAATTGTAGGTTGCTATATCAAAGTACAAACCGCCACTGCAGGACATTTTTATGAATTACCCTAAACAAAATAATTTAAATAAAAGTATGTATTAAAGTGAACCATCTTTGTGCAAATATTTGTCAAACTAAAAACAGTTTTCAAGGTTAAAGATATGAAAAAATCTGTTTACAACATTTGCTCGAATAAAAAAAAACTGAATCATTGATTTTAAGTCAAGAATACTGAAAACAGTGAAAATAGTGAATAGCAAAAGTTAGCTGAACTAGGTAAAGTGAGTTGAACTACAGTCTTCGTCGTAAATTATTAATACAATGAAAACTACGTTCTATTTCAATTTTGATTTCTACCAATTTTTCCAACAGCATGCCATAGACACATGAACATATGTAAACAAAGAGAAGTTTTCAATTAACAGCGTCTCTTTGTTTGTTTTTAAATTAATGTGAAAAAATGCTTGTTAGGTTAGATATCAAAGCATTATTACGAAAACGTCGTCTTCATTGTTTGATATAATCGCCGACAACTGTATCTCTCTATAGTGTTTAGCGTAGAAGAAGTCAAATCTAGTTCAACTGCAGTTTCTTGATTTTACAATTTTAAACTGTAGAATAGAGAGACGACATTTATGCAACAGTTTTTCTAGTACGTTAAAAAAGCACTTATTAAGTGCAAAATGGGTCTGGTAACACTGCACAATTGCTGTGCCTCCTGTTCATTTGACTATTTTAAGTCATAACTTGAGTCTAAAAATTGACTTCCAGTTCCAGAGTTTTCTGGTTATTACTGCAAAGATTGTAAAGTTAATCATTCTATTTTTAATATCAACCTGTGCACATTTAATAAATCCCTTGCAACTCCCAGGATCCGGAAATAATCCATCTTCAGAACAGTTTCCTGGGCCTATAATATGTACTTTTTAGACTTTCATTCCAATTTTTTAAAGGGACTGTAAGCGTAATTTCAAGCGACCCTCCAAGCAAAGATGCCAATGGTTGATTCACAACGGTACCCTTAAAATCTTTGTCTGATATAAATATATATCTATAATTTTAAAAACTGTTTATTTTCAAGTGTGGGTTTTCTACAAAAGTGACTTGTCCATTTTTACTGCAGGAAAACATATAGGAATTATCGGAATTAAATACTTTCAAACCAAGAAAAACGACAATATCTTTCAGAATGTTGATCAGAAAAAGTTTATATAAGGGTGGCAATCATTGGACATGGATCGGGTCATTTCAAATTAGGGAGACAGTCCCTTTAATCGATAATTAGTCCACACTTAAAGGGATAGTAGACATTATTTCAAGGTACTCTCCATTTATAGACTGTATAAAATATCCCTCATTTCTCTTTAAAAATTGGTTATTTTTGACCCATTTTCTCTAGGAAGTGACCTACGGATTTCTGCTTAAGAAACAATTGAGGAAAGTTTTAGAATTAAACACGTTTTAAACCAGAAAAATGACGACATCTTATTGTTGAATTTCTCCTCTTTAAAATACAACAATTGTCTTTATACAATCATATAATGTCATGTTCAGCTGGTTGTATTTTAATAACTTTTTAAAATATTGTACTAAATGATTGTTTTTTTTTATGCATGGGGGGATATCTCAAAATAATATACATCTTTTTTTCTCCTATGGTTTTCAAAAGTACGGAGCCCATTTTGAAAAATTTAGGATTTGGATTACTATTTGTTTTAAAATTGTATAAAATTGTATAGTCAGGTTCATCCTGTTCTGTAGTTTATGGATCCTACAGGGTGTCCCACGAAACATGACAGTTGGTGAATAGTTTAGAATGTCTTTTTCCATAATTTGTTAAGTTGTTTGATACCAAAGATCAATAAAAATATTATATGGGAGTCATGTTATATATAAAAATTGATTTCAAAGAAAAAGATTTTTTAAACTAAAATTAACTATTAACTAAATGTCATGCATTTCGTGGGACAGCATGTACTTTTTATGATTAATAATATTTTTACCGACGACGACAGTTTGGGTTGTAGTGGTATGAGGTGTTGGCTGTTGTGTGGAAACAGCTGGAGATTGTGTAGAAACATGAGTTGATGGATTTATGATTATTTGGTTTGGCGGATTACAATCTGGTCCGCCATTGTTCTGCCGCGTGTCAATATACTGCCCTTCAGGAATACCAGAGAGCTTAAAACACATTTAAATTTTTGTTATTTCTGACTCCTTAAAGGGACAAGCGTAATTTTCGGTCACCTCAAAGCAACATATGTTCACAAATAAAGTATTTTCATCCTAAATCAAGCATATTGTAAATTTTTGTTCATTTTTTAATGTGCTTGTCTGAAATGACCTAATTATTTTAGCGCAGGGCGCGTTGTACTTTTTAAGCTGTTCGTTAAAGGTTAGTTTAATAGTTTAAGCATTTACAACGATTTAGTTATTTTCTGTCCGTTCACGCTTTTTTTGTATATTCTTAATATCTTTTGTTGTGCAGTGTGTACAGAAAATTTCACTTATTAATTTGATTTTCTAGTTACTGGCAATCTATTAGCTTTATAACAACATTAAATACAAATAATATTGCTTACATGTCGTCTTCCTGTCACATAGTTTTATGTCTCACTGGATCATACCTGAATCTCTATATTGACATTTAGTGAAGAAACACGTAGCTTGTAAACTGCAGGAATAGTGCCTCCAGCTTTTCAACATTTCCAAAAATTAGTTAAAACAAAAAATTCTAACAAAATCTTAACTTACAAATTTTATATCTAAATTGCATCTAAAATGTTCAGGGAACTTTTTCAGTGACATTTCATAATTAAAAGAAATTAAAAGAAGTCAAGAATTAACTGTGAAACCATGAAAATTGTTTTCCTGCTTTACAAAACATAAAGTTTTCACATTTCTTCATTTCACGCCATCCTAAAATTTTATTTTATTACATAATGTCATTATTTTAATATCAATTAAAATCAATAGAATCAATTCCTTAGATGGTTCAAATTTCTCTTTATTTGTTTTTATTATAAAAGTCTAACCTGATCCAATATCAATACTCATAGATGTAACTGGAGCAATATTTCCTACAGGCTGAACATAAATATTCTTTAAATAAACTCAAACACAATTATCAAATTCCTACAGAGCTGAACATGAATACTCTTCAAATAAACTCAAACACAATTATCAATTTCCTACAGGCTGAACATAAATACTCTTCAAATAAACTCAAACACAATTATCAAATTCCTACAGAGCTGAACATGAATACTCTTCAAATAAACTCAAACACAATTATCAATTTCCTACAGAGCTGAACATAAATACTGTTCAAATAAACTCAAACACAATTATCAAATTCTTACAGGCTGAATATAAATACTGTTCAAATAAACCCAAACACAATTATCAAATTCCTACAGAGCTGAACAAAAATACAGTCTTCAAATAAACTCAAACACAATTATCAAATTCCTACAGACTGAACATAAATACTCTTAAAATAAACTGAAACACAATTATCAAATTCCTACAGAGCTGAACATAAATACTCTTAAAATAAACTCAAACACAATTATCAAATTCCTACAGAGCTGAACATAAATACTCTTCAAATAAATTCAAACATAATTATCAAATTCCTACGGGCTGAACATAAATATTCTTCAAATAATCTCAAACACAATTATCAAATTCCTACAGGCTGAACATAAATCTCAGAATATATATACTATAGAATAACAGAGCCCGAAATTTAAAAGAGTATCGTTGAACAAAACTCCCGAGTTTCCTTCTTGGGGTCTTAACATTTGTGTAGATTTTGATTTAAGAGAATCAAAAAAAAATTAAGAATATAAACAAACTGAATAAAATAATATTTCATAACAAAAATATTAATATTCTTAAAACTACCTAACCCCATTCGTGAAACCCGGGTTTTAGAACTAGTTTTCAGAACGATACCCTGTCTTAAGTTTTGGGCTCAGATTATGTAGTTTCATTCAACCCTATGAAGGCTGGCTGCTTTAAATTTATTAAGGGTCTAGTTGGGGGCGACCCCCCCCCCCCTTAAAAGTCCTGAAACATGTTAAAAATAACATTTTTGTTGTTGTTGACAAATAAAAACATGTGACAACTAATTTTATTTTTACTTATCACAATGATTTTTCCAAAATGTAACTTTTATATACAGTGATAACCAGAAAACAATGAAATATGAAGACGAAATTATATCAATACTTAAGTGTATTCGATGATGTTACAAAGCAAATATTTTTACCAGATACTTGAAAAATTACTTTTTTTGTGAAATCTGTCTGTTTTCACAAATTGCTGTGTTTCATGGTTATTGAACTTTTTAAAATTAAAACTTGATTCTCAAAATCGTCTTACTATTCCTGAGTTCTCTGGTAATCACTGTATGTAGCTTAAACCTATTCCTGCTGGATGGTTGGGGGGGTCAATTTTCACCCCCCTTGTAGTTTTTTTTACATAACTCAAAAAGTATCGAAATTGTTGTTGAAATTTTCTGACTTTTCCTAAATACCCAAAGCCCTCCATACACTTAGGAGTTATCACGATTCTAAAGACTTTTAAAATTAAAAGATATTGTTGTATTCCTTAAAATATGTTGAATTTCACTTAATGTAGTATGAATCCGTAATGCACTTATAGAACAACGGGGGGCTTCAATATCTGAATATCATCGGGAGGGTTTAAAATGAAATTGTTTAAAAAATGTATTTTAATAGTTCATTCATATTCAGTCATGAACAGCCTTCCACTTTTCCCGCTCCCTCAGAGAATTTTTGTTCTACCTCAGAGGAGTTCTGTTCTGCCTCAGATGAGTTCTGTTCTCCTACAGAGGATTTCTGATATACCTATCTTTTCCTCCTGAGTCAGGTATGACTAGAAATTCATTAAAACGTTTGTTAAATTGTGAAAGAATTTTTATCCCGTATTTTTACTCACAATTTCATGATTTTGGGTATAACATGGCAACGTGAATAAATATCTTAGTATTTTTTCTTCTATATTTTTTTGACAATTAATATTTGTGCTGAATTTTGCTAATTTAAGACATTGCATTTTTAGTTTGTTTCAGCCAACAACAAGAGAAAAGTTGAAGAACAGACAACAGAAGTATTTTACACCTCTAGCTTTGAAAAAATTCCAATTCTGGAATCAGGCACAAAAATACTGAGCTTATTCTGTTTAAAAACACGAATAACTTTCAAATAATCAATTCTAAATAGCTAATGAAATAAACAATTGAACTAATTTTTATTATTTTTTTTGCTATTAAAAGTTTGGTAGTTTCTTGTAGAAAGGGCTGTGCCCCCCCCCCCCTCTGATACTGCATTTTTAGAAGAAAGGACCATGAAGGTTTTAAGGAACTACGACTTACGAGAGAAAAGAGTTAAAAGTTTTTATAATCAAGGTTTAAAATTTAGAAGGATAGGATTGTTGGTCAAGTGCTAGGGCCACCTTAATGTGCACATTTTTTTTATGTTATGGTCGGTAATTACTTATATTTTGTGGTTACACAGATACCAAGCATTTACTTATGTGTTTGGCCAAGTACTGTGGTCATCTAAATTTGAAAAAATGCATTTCTGTATTTTATTGTAGGTAATTATTTGAGGTTACACAATTTGGCCTTGCAGGGGCCCAATTATTTTCATTTTGTTTTGGTTTTCCGTTTCGCATTTTGTAAGGAAAACAACTATTTGAAACAGTTTTGAAAATACATGTTTGATTAATTGAAGACTGAAGTAAAGATAATGAGATAACAAGAGAAAGTTTCGATAGTGAATCTTCAAAATCCCCCCCAAAGATTACTGAACATCTGGACATTTATGTATTGTACTGCATAACCCCACAGTCCAACACTTTATATCCCCAGTCTGTAGGGTTAATGTGTACCTGGAATCTAGCATCCCAGGGATGACTGCCTGGCTTGACATAAATATTGAGATTAGAGCCACCAGTCAGAGACTCAGGGCACTCAATCCAGCTGAAGAAGAGTATTAATAAGATGACCCAAAACTTCTGGGACGGAATTTAATGAATTTGAGCTATGTCGTTGATCTACCAACTGACGGTTTAAATTCAAACCACCAATTCAAATTTAAAGATTAAGGAAGGATTTGAATTGGTGATATATAGATAGATATATTTAAATAATTTTAAATCAAATAGCACGCAAGAAGTTTAGAAGATTAACATCAGCAGGTATGTGCAAAATATTATTTTTAAGAAGGAAATAATCATTAAAAAGTTGCTGGAAGACAAATTGGGTGCGGACAGGAAGGGATACAGGTAAGCACGCTGCTGCGAAATCATGTTTGTGAGACAATTGTGGGTCGGAAGCTTTATGGGTTGTCCTGCCTTCAACAGTGCACTGCCCTTTACAAGTCAAGCATGCTACAAATGTGTAAAACATGCTGAAGTAAACGATGGTTCTTCACATTTTGGACTTGTGTGTACTGGAATTGTGTATAATAGGCTTGCTACCTGGATTCAACTCCATAGATGTGTCCTGGAGGTTCACCTCCAGTTAGTTCTCTCCAAGCAGGACCTCCCATATCAAACCAACCGTTAGAACAGCCCCAGCATCTTAATCATAAATTTCACTTAAAGGGAGTGTTCGCGAAAAATGAAAGGGGGTATAGGCTTAATGCGATAAAAAAGCGCTTTTGATCGCTACTAATCTTACTTCTATCTGTTGCGTCTATAAGGAGAAAATTGTTAAAGACGTCTCATACCGAATAACATGGCGTCCATACAAATTGAGAAAATTGCAACATACGACTTAGACCGTAAAAAAATCAATTTGATTTCAAACAAATCATTCAGATATTACAACCTATAGTCATCGATTATCTTTCGAAACATTTGTATATAGTTAATTTTTTTATAATATGTTTTAATTGTTTTGATCTGAGAGTTACTTATAAAAACATTTATTCCTGTTTTGAGGATTTTTGGTAATGAAGACGACATTTTCATATTTTCCAGGAATGTTTGAAAAGAAGTTGTAAGCTAAATATTATATTAAAAAACAAAATCAAAACTAGTATGAAATATCAAATATATACAAATGTGGCGAAAGATAATCGATGACTATAGGTTGTAATATCTGAATGATTTGTTTGATATTAATTTGATTTTTTTACGGTCTAAGTCGTATGTTGCAATTTTCTCAATTTGTATGGACGCCATGTTATTCGGTATGAGACGTCTTTATCAATTTTCTCCTTATAGACGCAACAGATAGAAGTAAGATTAGTAGCGATCAAAAGCGCTTTATTATCGCATTAAGCCTATACCCCCTTTTATTTTTCGCGAACACTCCCTTTAATCAAACGCAGGATACCCCAATGATGTCAGTATTGGACATCTTATGTTTTTAAATCATCTCAAGTATAAAGATATGTGTAAAGGTGATATCTGAGAGTGGTATAACTAAAAATAACATGGCATCCAGGTCCCCTCTGCTGGAAGTTTAAAAATAAAACAGTTCTCTAGCGTCACACTTTTCGTTTCACACTTTGAATTGGGTATTGGTTGCTAATAATTTTACTCCTATCTATTGTGTCTATAAGGAGAAGTTGTTAAAGACGTCTTATACTAAGAGCGTAGTGTCCTTAAAAATTCACAGAGTTGCATTATTCCACTCACATTGTAAATTTATATTTATATAAGATGTTTTTAGCTATTTTCTCTTTAAAGACTTATCAGATAGAAGCAAAATTAGAAACTATTAATATCGAATTCAATTCGATATCAGCCTATACCCCCTTTAATTTTTTTGCAAACCCTTCCTTTAAAGTGACTCTCTATTCCAAGAGTGACATATGTGAATCACACAATACCCCATAGACCTCCCAGAGTTTTATATGTAGAAAAACCACAATTGTTAAAAAAAAGAATTTTTCATGCATCTTTTATCAGACAAAAAAGGGTACTATTGTTAAAGGCCGCTTAATGAATGAAAAGTCACTTCATAAAATGTCTACCTTCATTCAATCTGCATGGGCCCTATGTGCCATGAGACAATATTTAGTTGTGAAATGTTCAATTCTCATTGATTTACCTATCTACAATATTAACTACAACGCTTCTTCCCTTGTATCTAGAATTAATCAATGTGATAATACAATAAAAGGAATTGAGTTTCCGCCACAAACTTAAATTTTCTAATCCCTATATCTTTGCAACCTGATAGCGTATAACTTTGATATTTCAAACTTAGATAATCTGACCTAACAGGATTCATAGCTTGAAATATATAAGGTCTGCGTTATTGGATTGAAAAGATAAAGGGACTAGAAAATCGGCGTTTGTGGCAAAGACTCAATTCCTTTAAATCAAAAATGTAAATACAGGGTGATGAACAAAGGATGGTAGTTAACCTGAGCCTGCTATTTAAAAGCTTTGGCTTCAGGTCTACGCTGTCATTTTCCCGAATTTTTTAAATCCTGGGATCAGGTTGAACAGATGATATATAAGGATCATAACATTAGAGTTTGTTGCAAGTGTTCAATTCAAATCCTTAAATTTGTATTTCAAAAGTACACATGATATAGTATGGTGTGCTGATTTATTGATCTCAAGTCTGACATTTATTTTGTCAAATTGTTTACTTTATAAATATAATCCTTTCAGATTCAAGTTGAAACTAACTTTTCACAGAGTTTGGTGTTTGAAACCAAATTAAAATTATATTTGAGGGATTTTCATGGTTGGAGTTGGCATATTTGAGTGAATTGATTAGAAGACTGAACATTCAGACTGTTTCTTAATCAAAATCAAACCAGGTCAGAGCCTTCAATTTAGAAGCTTCGGGTTGAGTCTTAACCCTATAAACAGGCTGGGAGAGTGGGGCGTTTGGCGACTCCCTATAATTTGTTGGTCCTAGCACTCTCATTTTGACACCATCACCTTAAATTTTGTGACTTTTAACAAAAAGTAATTTAAAGGATTTTTTGTAAAAGTATGTTTTTTTAATGCATTGGGTTGGGTAGGGCGGTAAAAAGTCTGGTATGTGTAAAAAAAAAAATAAAATAGCCATAACGTTCTTGTGACTAAAGCTACAGATCTAAAAATTATATGTTTGAACAGCCTTTAAAAAATGGATGTAGAAACATGTGTTTGATATCTGTTTAAAATAAGATTTATTTTTTACATTTGACACTTTTATTTGGCATTTTTTCAACCCTTCCTAGTGCCCAACCTATTAAAGTTACAATAAAAGTTTAGCGTAGTTATTTGCAAGCGCATTTAGATTTAAAGTCAATGTACAGCGTAATTTATCTAGGTGTGTTCAGGCTTATAACAATGGGATTTGATGCAGTATTTATTAAATACCTATTCTCTATTAAATACCTATTTACTAGGGAGGGGCGTGGGACCCCCCCCCCACAGGCCATACATAGATTCAGACCCTCCTGCCTTTATAGCGTTAATTCCTCAGACCTAAATTTAAGACTCAATCTTAGACCCAACTTTTGAATCATCTTACCACAGCTTGTGTCATGTTATCAATAGCTGTCAGATCTTAGGCTCTACTTCAGGAGTTAGGTTCAATGAAAATAAAACCAACCTTGGTTGGTTTTAATGGAGAATCAGTCTTATGTTGAGTCTGATCAAATTCTGCCAATCCCCCAATTCCAATCATGAAAATCGGCCAAATACAATATTAAACTTGCTTAATAGTCCCAAAAGTGTGGTAAATTAGTTGCAACTTATATCTGAAAGCTTGAGTCTGAAATTAGTCTCCATGGAAGCAACCCATGATATCTGTTCTATCTTCTCTGATCTCTAATCCTTGATCGTATACCCTGTATTTTAGACATTACAATTTTCTGGAAATATTAATTGATTGATTCCTTAGTTTTGCGCAGTTGCCACAACCAAATCCAGAATCCCAGTCCCCTGCGCCTACAGCTGCAAAGAACCCCTCGGCTAGAACAAATTATTATACAGACTGACATATCAAAACTTTTGACAAGCGGAAAAGTTTAATTGAAAGTTGTTATTAATATTTTCACCCTAATACAAATATCTTGTTAATCTAAAGTTTAAATATACAGTTTTAAGTGGAATAAGGCTCCAGTTGTTTTTTCTTATCAGTAATAACAAATGAAGTGTATCTTGTGAAAATAAAAATGAGATCTTTTGCAGATTTAAATTTTGACTCACCTAGTTTAGAATTTGGCTTATTAAAACCACAAGCACCAGTTTTTCCGTGCACCCATTGCTCCTAAAATAAATAAAAATAAGTAATGCAGAACTAATGTTATGCGATGAAATCATTTTGATCTAAATTTGCCGCCCCTGAGCTCTCCACACTGAAGATGTGAAACCCCAGAAGTTGAGGGGGTGATCGAGTCTGTAGTAACGAACCGAAACCAGTTTAGAATTGTAAACTTTAACTTAAATCTGTACTGTGTCCGCCATTGTTGTCAGACTCAGACTCAGTTAAACTTGCTATGATATGATACGGAAAGTATTGTTGTGATCTGTTTACAGTGCATTAAGGTATTAATTAGGCTTTCTACATTATTTCTATATGATAAATGAGTTTTGTATCCTTGAATTGTTTAAATTAAAACTGATTTATCCACGTTGTAGATTGTTGCATTTTTTTCAGCTTTTAAACGATTTTATTCTAGTAACTAATCCTGTATATTTTCCTTTTTCTGCATATTGTATTTTATAGAAAAATATTTTAATAAAATTTAAATCTTTTATAGATTGTACCCGTTTGGCATCAACCAGAGCACCGTTACTATCGAGGATTGTATTTCACCTAAATACCATTTCTCCAAGCCCAGACTGATTTTTAAAAGTTAAATATATCTTTAAAACCTGAAACATAGTTGCTTCTCCTCCATGAGATCCTGGTTTACTTACTGGACACTCTCCAACAGTTCTTTAAATAATTAGAAAGATGTTAATAAATTATTTTTAATTATTTTGAAGGGCTTCAGGCTAACATCGTCTCTTTTAAGTTGCCTAATTATTCCATTATGCAAATTATGTAAGCTTATAACTTTAAGTGACTCTCCGACCATGCAAAGAAAGCAATTCCCGATTTACAATGTTACCCTTGAAAGCTTAATCTGATTAAAAATGTGGATCATACCGTCGTTTTTCTGAATCATGAAGTGTTTATTTCTGTAAACTTCTCATTTGCTTAATATAAGCCAGAAAAACGCAAGTCACTTTTGCAGAGAAACCGCAAATGAAAATATGACATTGAAAGTAAGAAAAACATGGATGTTTAATTCATATTTGTCAACAAACCTGTTAAGGGCACCGTTGTAAATCGGGCATTACAGCGTTTGCAGCTTGAAACGCCTAGTTCATAAATTTTATTTGGTGAAACATTTCATAAGAAAAAGTTTTACTCTTGAATAGGGTTTCAAGCAAACAAAAATGTTCGCGAAAAAATTCGAAAAATGCGAACATTTTCTTTCGTATTTCGCAAGATTTTTCGCGAAATTTCTGAAAATCTTCAAATAAATACATTATCCTAAAAACCCCCTTGAAACCATAGATTTTACAACTTTGCTGTTGTTAAATAAAAATTTCCCAATATTCAAATTATTTTTTTGGTTTACCTTTCAAAGAAGAATGGATAAAGAATGTAGCCGTGACAAAAGTTTATTAACTCTAGAAATAAAAAAAATTTCATCTTTTTTCTGGAAAATTTGCATCTAAGATAATTTTTTACGCTTTTCAATTTTCAAAAACTTAAATTACATTTTAAAAGCGTGCAGGGTCACTTAATAATTACTCAGACAGTCACTGTAAACAAGGTTGTTGACCCCTGGCTGTTTAGTGGTTAAACCCAACTGAAAACATACTTCTCTGTTCACGATAAAATAATCTCTTGAAAAGAAATTTAGTAATATCTGTACCAGTGGGAGATGACAAAAAAATCAAGGATTAGGATATGCTTTCAATCATCTTTCTCCCCTTTAATAATATAGGAATTTATAAGGATGGTTTTCTTAAAGCTATACATTTGTAACCCCCCTAAAGCTCAGCAAGGAATGGACCCAAACCACATATTTTAGTCTGACATATCTCTCAGTGCAAACAAAGAATACAAAAACTTACAGAATAAATGACTGTTTAAGTATTTAGGACTAGAAATTTTTTTTAACCCTGAGGGGCTTTCCCCCCCCTTTCTTTTTCTTCAAATTTATTAGTGGAATTTTATTATCTTGCAGTATTTTAGTTTTTATAAAACAGCAAACACTGTAGAAAGTGAGAAATATTAACGCACTCAGGAGCAATGCTGAAAATTTACGTCCATTTCTCAAAAAAAATATTTTCATTGTTTCTTTGATTAATTTGAAACCAAAGTAAAAGTTGTTATTAAATAATTTGACCATTAGAAAACAATTTCCCCCTGGTTCAACCATTGGACCCCCTGCCTTCCCTCTTCCTATTATTTTCCCCAGATTGACATGAACCATACACCCTATTTCTGAAATGCAACCTGAAATCATTGAAAGAAACTGTTGACCCGCCATTTTTGCCTGATTTACAACGGTACCCTTAAAAGCTTCGTATGATAAAAAATGAATTAGATTTCCATGTTTATATTGTTAAAAATTTATTATTTTCAGTTGTGGTGTACCTACAAAAACAGCGTCGGAGTTATCAGAATTAAACACTTTTTAAGCTAAAAAAACGATGTTATCTTTCCCATTATGGATAAGATAATCCAAAAATTCCAACGTTTTGATATCCATACATATGTTTATCCAATGATATCCAATATCCATACAGCGGGAATCTAGTAAGCATAACTCCTGAGCGACAAACTCATGAAAGACACCTCACAAAAGACAAACTCCTGAGAGACAAACTAATGAAAGACAACTCCTTTAAGACAAACTCCATAAAGACAAACTCTTGAAAGAAAAAACTCATGAAATACTAACTCCTGAGAGACAAACTTCTGAAAGACAAACTCCTGATAGACAAACTCAAGAAAAACAAACTCCTGAAGAACAAACTCTTGAGAGACAAACTCCTGAGAGACAAACTCCAGAAAGACACACTCTTAAAAAACACGTCTTTGCGACACATTCTTATGAAACAAATGAGACAAGCTCTTGAAAGACAAACTCCTGAAAGACAAACTCCTGAAAGACAAACTTATGAAACACAAACTCATGAAAGACAAACTCCTGAAAGACAAACTCCTGAAAGACAAACTCCTGAAAGACAAACTCCTGAAAGACAAACTTATGAAAGACAAACTCTTGAAAGACAAACTCATGAAAGACAAACTCATGAAAGACAAACTCATGAAAGACAAACTCCTGAAAGACAAACTCCTGAATAACAAACTCCTAAGAGACAAACTCCTAAGAGACAAACTCCAAAAATACACACTCTTAAAAGACAAACGTCTTTGCGACAAATTCATATGAAACAAATGACACAAGCTCTTGAAAGACAAACTAATGAAAGACAAACTACAGAAATATACACTCTTAAAAGAATAACGTCTTTGCTACAAATTCCTATGAAACAAATGAGACAAGTTTTTGAAAGACAAACTCTTGAAAGACAAACTCTTGAAAGACAAACTCTTGAAAGACAAACTCCTGAAAGACAAACTTATGGAAGACAAACTCTTGAAAGACAAACTCCTGAAAGACAAACTCCTGAAAGACAAACTCCTGAAAGACAAACTCCTAAAAGACAAACTAGAGAAAGACCTATTCCTGGAAGATAAACTCCTGAAGGACAGTTACTCCTCACATGCAATTTCCTAAAATACAAACTGTTTTGAGGCAAATTTCTGAAAGATAAACTTCTTTCAAACCAACTAAAAAATACAAACACTTGAAAGACAAATTCTTGCGCTATAAGGGTGCCGCACAGTAAAGGCTAAGTACCTGAGCGCTATGACTCAGAAAGTAAAAAGTGATGAGCCCTATTGTCAGAAACGACTATTCTGACAACAATAAAATTAGAACGTTTATACTTTATCGCTTGAACATGTTCTAATCTTTTTATATCTTGATTATTTTATGACATTTCTCAAACATGATATTTGCAAATGTTGTAAATTTTGCAAAAATAATTCTATAACTCTCCCCCCCCCTCCTCCTTTCTTTACCCTACCTTTCCAAGCTTTAGTTTAAACAGTCTATAATTTTTATTCTTTTTATTGCTTCATTGCTTCTCATTTTTGGTTTGTTGGGTTGAGAATGGAAGGCAACCTCCCCCGCACAGCTTCCGAACCTCATTTTACCTATTTGCGGCAGTGCGCGTCCCCAGAGGATTTCCTAACCTCCCCCAAACAGTCTTCCGGGAAGGATCTTCCATTTATAATCGTCAATTTCTACGGGACTAATTTGATTATTAAAGCACGATCTATAGTATCCTTAACATTTGTTTTCTTCATGAGGTTCGGAAGCTGTGCGGGGGAGGTTGCCTTCCCTCCTTCGTTGGGTAAAAGTAACCAACCGCAATAGATCGGTAATTTCGACCAATATGAACTTCAAACTAAAGATTACTTTGTTGTAAATAAAACATTTTTAAAGTTTGTTTTTCCTTATCTTCCTCCGATAAAGTGGTATAAAGAGTACCGTTGTGAATCAGGCATGTAGCACATTAAACTGAGGAGGGGGGGGGGCTTACAATTTTCATTAAAAAATAATGCAAACAATCTTTATAATTCTCTTTCCTTTAAAGTAAAAAAGTCTTAGGGTCAAATTGCTTGAAAAATATGGTTAAAAATATATAGGGGGCAACAAAACCCCTCCCTTGGGGGATGGGGTGGCACAGTGGGGTATTATGAGGGGGGGTTGGCCAAAATGATTTTATTCCATAAACCTCATATTTATGTCAAATAAGGCTTGGCTGCTTAGAATTTTTTTTAATGAGAATTCTCAAAGTGGTTTAAATGTTATGTTTTAGTTAAGAATTTTGATTGAAAACTCTTAAAATAGGATTTTCCAACACGCTACTCTGACAACATTAAGGATTTGGGGTGCTGCTGGAGGACTTAAATCTTTTCTTTAATGGCTGTTAAAATCTTTTTATATATTTAGATTATCCCGAAACCCCTGTGCTTTTATGTGCTTTTGCCATAAATTATAAGTTTTTCGTTCCAAAAAGCTCGCTGTAAGAAAGACGACATCTAAATATATTGCGAGTTTACAGAATTCATTCAAGGATAAATATATGAATGGAAAAATAATTATAAATTGAAATCATTATAAATCAATGCTAGCTACAACTCGTTTTGTAAATGAAAAGATTATCATAATATATTCATTTTGTCCATTCTTACCATGAAACCCAAGACAAATGCATTTTAAGAGGAGTATTGTGATTAAAACCAGTCACCCCCCCATGACCCCCTAAAATACCCCACTGTGGGTGTGCCCCCCCCCCCATGGGTTAAGAACTGCTGATATAACATAGACTAAGAGTTGAGTAAAGTTTGTACTTCTCTGGTTACGAAAGGGGAAGCTTAAACTTGAAGAATTTGCTTATTGTCAGGCAATTTTATATAGATCCAATAATAAAACTATTTTGACAGCTAGGGGGCGGGGAAGGGGGAGTTGGTGCCCCCCCCCCTCCTACTTCTTACCATATTTTTTTATACAATTTGACTTTAAAACATTCAAATTTAAGAAAAGGTAATTAAAAAGTTTGTTTTTGGTGAAAAATTCTTATCATCAGAATTTCAACAATTTCTGGGGTCCGAATTAATATGGAAAACCCCCGGCCTCTCCCCCCTATTCTGTAGATATACACATACTATTAAGGTTTTGGCTAAGATGGATAGATAGTTTCTAAGTTTTCTGTATTTTGAAGAGGGGGGGGGGTCCTAGGATTTTAGCAATTTTTGTAATTATTAAAATAAAAATAAATTTTAGGGTTCATTTTCAGAAATTAGATCGAGAGCTTTACAAATTGAAGACGACGAGTTGAAAAGGAAAGAAACTGTAAACACATTTCTAAATTATACTTTTGAACTTTTGTAGCAAACTTTACATTTACAAAATACTTTCTTCACAAAGAATTATTTGAACTCCTTGTATAGTTAGTATCTAAAAATAAGGAAAAACTTACATAAATAAAAAATACATATCTTATGGAAATACTAAGAACGTGTTTAACATGTTTTTAAACTAATTCTTTTTGTTGAATCCCGCTCTGAAATATTTAAACAATCCCTTTAAAGGTTTCTGGGTTAAATAGAGGTTCCCCGGAGCCGGAGCCAGGTTTAGTTCAGCCATGTCGGAGAAATATATGAATATTGGTGCTCCGATGACAGAGCTGCCATTAGCTCAGTCCAGAGCTCATTCATCGCTATCTCACAGGTTCATCTTTTTTATTTATCCGCCATTTTGTTTAGAAGAATAAAAAACAGATTTTGTTCGAAGATTTCGTGGATTTTAACAAATGTTCATGCAGCATACATTTTGTGGATTTTAACAATCAATTTTAATAGATTTCGTGGATTAAAAAAAAAATATTTTTTCTTAAATTTTCGAAGCATACTTTTCGATGTTAAACTCTAAAAAATTGTATTTACCATTTTCTGTATTTTGTTTTTTTCTTTTGTTATGGGTGAGATGATTTAAATTCACTGGATTTAATCCCAATGTATTTACGTTAAAGACTTTGATAGAATTTCCACTGGAATTCAAAAATAAATTATATTGTGATTTTTGTTTGTTCGATTAAAAAACAAAATAATAATGGCTAATTTGCTAGTTATACTCTTATGGGTTTAAAATGTTTTTAAAATGTGAAATTCCAACTTTATAAACAGAGTAACCCACAAAGAATGAGACTTCATGGAGACGACATTCAGGGGCGTACGAGAGCATTTGAGTAGGGGGGGGGGGCACATTTTGCGAGCGTCAGCGCGCAAAAAAAAATTTTGTGTCCCCCCCTGGCAACATTGTGCCCCCCCCCTTAACCCCTTTTTTGAAAAAAAAATATTGATATTCACTATGTAAACTTAACTTTATGTAATTTTCTTAAGGGGGGGGGGGGGCACAATGTTGCCAAGGCCCCTACTCCTACTCGAAAAAACTGGTATTTTCTACAAGTAAATTTTTTTATATTAGCCTTATACAGGTTCACCAACAAAGGGTCAAACGACACAGGGTCAAACAACACACGGTCAAACGACACACGGTCAAACAACATACGGTCAAACGACAAAGGGTCAAACGACACTGGGTCAAACGACAAAGGGTCAAACGACATAGGGGGGTAACAAAATGCGACAAAGGGGCAACTTTTTTTAAAATTTTGACATCTGTTACAGTTAGTATTTATTTATTATTATTTAGGGTTAGGTTAAGACACTTTCTGGGCCGAGCGCTGCGGCTAGGACAGGCTAGGGGGCCGAGCGCTGCAGCCACATGGTCAATTATATCGATGTCTAACATATAAGATCCATGTACAAAATTGATAGGAGGGTTGCGAGTTTCCTATGATTCAAATCAAAAAATATTTTTATCATTTTGACCTTTTGTCGTTTGACCCTTTGTCGCACTTTTGACCCTTTGTCGTTTGACCCTTTGTCGTTTGACCCTTTGTCGTTTGACCCTGTGTCGTTTGACCTTTTGTCGGTGAATCCTTATACATTTTTTTCCAAGTGATTCACTTTAAAATTGTTTTTGATTAGTCTCTTGGATCTCTATTTATAAACGATCTAATATGATGTGGGACACCCTGTATGTTGAACACAATAAGAATCATTTTGAACCGAATTCTTTTATTCAATGCTATGCGTTGCATGCATTATGTCGCTCTTTGAAAATGAACATTTTTTGCTGCTTGCAATTTTCGAATGCTACTTGTTTTAATGCTTACACACATTAATTCTAGCAACGTTTAAAGGGCCGGTGTCACGTTAATTCTAACAACGTTTGCAGGGCCGGTGTCACGTTAAAAAGTGTATGGGTGTGAGATAATGTCCGCGGCTTCTGTCTCAAACATCAAATTTCAAAATTTTGAAATATAATACTTAGATATTTTACGTAGTTTACGTATGTTCAAGGGATAAAAGTAAAGATATGCATTATATTTCTTTGAACCGAAGACGACATTTGATACAAAATTTCGTTTCAAGCGGCTTTTCTAGTATTGTTACGTTTAAAAACTAATTTAAGCATTTTTTAATGTTCAGCATATGTCTATTAATGCATTCTTAATTTGATATTGTTGGGAAAGTATCTTAGTCATTAAGTAGTTCCACACTACCTGGGTTTTATCTCGCAAAGGACCTTTAATTGATTAACTTAAATATCAATATTTCATTTTGATTATATAATCTACAGCATGTCCCGCTTAATATGCAAATTTGATGAACGACCTTGATCATTGTTTTGATTTTTGGTCAATTGCAGAATAAAAAAAATCTGGAATATTAAGACGACTTTTGGGGTCAAGTTAAATAGTTCAAAAACATGAGACACAGAGAGTTTGAAGTGTGAGTAGGTCTATATCAATTGAAAAGTGATTTAATTACTTAATTGCAAAACTATAAGGTCTTGGATTTCTCAAAATTTTTAATATTGCTAAACTAACTAATTCACACTTTTCATTTAGATTATTTTGAAATAATTGCTTCTTAGTTTTTAAAATGCTTTGTCTATCCGCATTTTTACAGTGAGACCCACAAAACTGTTGGACAAAAATCTGCAACTTTATGTGTGTTCATATATAACAGTTGTTTTAAAGCAAAAAATTTTCCTAGAAGCTTAAAAAAACAACTTATTCAGTGAAATGAGTCTGAGTGCGCTGCACAATTGCTATGTTTAGGGTTTTTTGGACAATTTAAAATCTTATATCGAATCACCTTGCCTTATTCCTTTTCTATGGGATTTGAAATGTTTGGTTTGGGATTCTGCAACGTTTGGGGTTATACAATTGTTGAGATTTGACAGTGATTGCGATTTGCAATGATTGTTTGAGATTTGACATTGTTTGGGATTTAAAATGCTTGGTTAAGATTTGACATGTTTGGTTTGGGATTTGACGATGTGAAAATGTTTGGTTTGGAATTTGACAAAGTATGGAATTTTTAATGTTTGACAAAGTTTGGTTTGGTTTTAGGGGCAAGAAATTACGCCGTGCACACAGTTTGCAGGATCGTCTTCATCTTTCCTTTTACTCCAGGTATATGTAGCAGTAGTGAATTACANGCTGATGTAGCCGAACCAAGGGGGTGGGAGTTGTCAGGATATACCCCCTTTTATATTTAATTTTTTACTATAAAAATACAATAGACCTAGCATTATAGCCATATAGCTTTAATTTTGTACAGTACAATACATTTAGTACAGTACACGACCTTTAGTAACTCAAATACGCGTAATCGAGTACATGTGAAACAACTAACATTTTGAAATGATGTGATCCTTCTAATTTTTTTTGACAAGATGAAGCAAACTCTTTTCAACCATGTAAAATTTTACAAAATGTTTATTTTTAGTTCATGATATATGATTATTAAATTTACAAGTTACATAAATTTACTTTATATCGGTACAAAATACGCAAAGGTCTCGTATCGTGCCTGGGGATCTAACTGGTAGGACAATAATAAAGAATGTTGTGGGAACCAAACAAATGTGGAAAAGGAAGACGATATTTCAGCAATATTATGTGTTTTTGATATTGTTATTAAGCAAATTAAGTTTTACCATGGTAGCTTAAAAATCAACCTAAAAGTGAAATAGGTCTGTTTAAACTGCTTGTCTTATAGTGTCTATATGAGTATTACTGTAATGCATTGAATGTGTATTTGATATTGTTATAAAGCAAATAGTTTTACCAGCATCTTAAATATAGACTTAAAAGTGAAATGGGTCCTGCTCTATTATTTTTATTTTTAAAAGTTGTTAGTTCATCGTCAAAAAATACTAACAATCCACCACTATAAGTTGATATTAAATATAAAATATTAAATATATGTAAAATATTGTGGAAGACGATGTTTCGACCTCTAAAACAGAGTTCCACAACAGAAGGAGAACGCGGGATTCTGCTCAGCCTCGTGAGATTGATTTATAGTTAGATATATAAAGTTTTTGTCATATCAATAANAATAATTAATTACTTACTTACTTACTTACAGCTTTACGGGTCTCGCTGTAAAAATTGAAATTTTATAATTCTTATTTTTTTTTTAAATTGCATGCGCATCTTTAAAAATCTTTTTTTCTCGTTATTATGAGTCTAATTTTTAATCCTTATACACATATTCTAAGAGAATACAAGAGAATACAATTGAGTTCAAAAATAATAAATCAAAGTATTTTTGGGAAAAAAATCAAAGTTCTTTTTACTGTCCAAAATAAATTATTTAAGACTTAAAAGAAATCTAAAAAAAATTTGCATGCAGTGTTTATTTTCAGGGTAAAACAAGCGTTATAAAGTGTTTCTATTTTCTTGCGTTAAATGTTCTTTCAACCAGACTTATCATAAAAATGTTTTATATTTCTCAGTTTAGATCAAATAAAGCGGGGTTTTATAAGAACTTCAACAAACAAGAAATATATTGTAAAATACAGACGGCAATAAAAAAAATGTCCTAAAATAGTTTAATTTTGATTTTATTCTATTTTAGAGCACAATCATCAATGGGAGGAGCGGCAAAATTCCATGATAGTTGTCAATCTGTGAGTCATCAAAACATGGTAGTTTCTTGGCAGTTCAATAGTTAAATAATTAAAGAGTTAATTTTCTAAGCTTTGCTCAGAAACTTAACTCTCTCTTTTAAGACAATAATTTGAAGCAAATCAGTTAAATTGGTTTATGTAATATAGGCTTGGATTTGAATGATTTCTATAGGTTATGAAAATAGGCTTGTAATCAGACTTTTTAAAGTAACATTTTCTTTCTGGAATCAACAATATCCTGATAATTATCCTTTTGCAAAAATTATGCAATAATTTTTCTAAATTATTTTTATTCAGCAAAATGCAATTGAGTACATGAATCATGATTTTTCCTGAATTTTCCGCAGTTCCAATTTTCCTGCATTCTTCAAAGCAATAAAATCTGGAAAATAATGCCAATAAACAATCCAATTGGCCTTGAGCTTTGATCAATAGTTGGTTAAAAGTTGACGATGAAGAGTCAAAGTTGACAAAACATTAACTAAATTATTTTAGTTTACGATACTTAAAAATAAGCTACAATCCCATGCTCTAGAACGGATTTTGGTCTAGGGATCCTCTCTTATTTAAAACAATCCCTTTCTCTATAGAACGGATTTGAAAGTAGGGATCTACTCTTATTTAAACAATCCCTTATTCTAGAACGGATTTTGATATAGGGATCCTCTCTTATTTCAAAACAATCCCTTTCTCTAGAACGGATTTGGAAGTAGGGATCCTTTCTTATTTCAAAACAATCCCTTTCTTTAGAACGGGTTTTTATATAGGGATCCTCTCTTATTACAAAACAATCCCTTTCTCTATAGAACGGATTTGGGTCTAGGGATCCCCTCTTTTTCTTAAACAATCCCATTCTATAAAACGGATTTGGGAATAGGAATCCCCTCTTTTTTTCAATCCCATGCTGCAGAACGAATTTTGGTCTAGAGATCCCTTCTTATTTAAAACAATTCCTTTTGTCTAGAACGGATTTTGGTCTAGGGATACCGTCTTATTTAAAACAATCCCTTTCTCTAGAACGGATTTGGATCTAGGGATGCTCCTCTACAGAAAGGAGAAAGTCCGCTTCGAATTTGTTCTTTGACAAAAGAAGAATTCCAGATTAGTAAAGACGCAAAGTTTTCTCCAGGTTAATCAATTTTTAAATTCTTTTTATCATAATATATAATTCTTTGTTCTTTTGTTCTTTTATTCTTTCCTTGTTTTATTCTTTTATTGGCTCATTATTTCTCTCTTTTATTCTTTTGTTAGCTAATTATTTTATTATTTTATTCTTTTATTAGCTAATTGTTTTATTCTTTTATTAGCTAATTATTTTATTCTTTTATTAGCTAATTGTTTTTTTGTTTTATTCTTTAATTTTGTTATCTATTCTTATTCTATTATTTCATTCTTGTTCTTGTTCTTGTCCTTGTTCTTGTCCTTGTTCTTGTTCTTATTCTTGTTCTTGTTTTTGTTCTTGTTCTGTTTTTGTTCTTGTTCTTGTTATTGTTCTTGTTATTGTTATTGTTATTGTTATTGTTCTTGTTTATGTTCTATTTAAAATTCTTGTTTTTGTTCTTGTTAAAGTTCTTGTTAATGTTCTTTTGTTTTGTTCTTGTTGATGATCTTGTTAATTTTCTTGTTAATGCTCTTGTTTTTGTTCTTGTTAATGTTCTTGCTCTTGTTCTTGTTCTTGTTCTTGTTAATGTTCTTGTTCTTGATCTTGTTCTTGTTATTGTTAATCTTAAGTGTTCTTGTTTCTTGTCCTTGTTCTTGTCAATGTTCTTAACCCTAAAGTCAAAAAAGAAATTCCATGTTTTCAACATATTTTAGGTATTCAAGTTTCCTGTTCATATTTAGGTATTCAAGTTTCCTGTCCATATTTGTATTGTAACTCTAAGAATTCTCAGTTCCAAAATGCTGGCAGATTTCCCTCAGGTAGATTCCCCTAACCTAACCCTGAGGTAGATTACCCTAACCTAATTCTCAGGTAGATTCCCCTAACCTAACTCTGAGGTAGATTCCCCTAACCTAACCCTGAGGTAGATTCCCCTAACCTAACCCTCAGGTAGATTCCCCTAACCTAACCCTCAGGTAGATTCCCCTAACCTAACCCTCAGGTAGATTCCCCTAACCTAACCCTCAGGTAGATTCCCCTAACCTAACCCTCAGGTAGATTCCCCTAACCTAACCCTCAGGTAGATTCCCCTAACCTAACCCTCAGGTAGATTCCCCTAACCTAACCCTCAGGTAGATTCCCCTAACCTAACCCTCAGGTAGATTCCCCTAACCTAACCCTCAGGTAGATTCCCCTAACCTAACCCTCAGGTAGATTCCCCTAACCTAACCCTCAGGTAGATTCCCCTAACCTAACCCTCAGGTAGATTCCCCTAACCTAACCCNAAAGAATATAAAGTTGACCCCTCCCTCACCTCCCTCCCTAAATGTTGAAAAGGGTTAAGCCCTCCCCCTCCCACCCCGGGACTGATTTTAAAGTTACACTATTATAATTTCCGTAAATTCTTTGATGTATAGAAATGTTAAACTTTTCTAATTCTGAATTTTTTTTGTAAGAAAAAACTTACCAATAAAGGGATTGATCCCAAACTTAAAGATTATAATGTGACTGTTCCCAAATTTGAAAATAAAGAGAACGTACAGGAAATCTGGTTCTGTATCTAACTTGACAAATGGGAATCAGCAGATCCAGTCTAATGCAGCAACGACTCAGGAAAATTTAAATTGTTGAAATTAATAAATTAAATTCCTTCTTTTAAGTGTAGACACAATTTCAAGTGGCCCTCATTTTCAAAATTCACATATGCCACACAATAGAACCCATAAGATTAGTGTCCCTAGATAAATTAGACTATATAGCTCATCTAGTTTTCACTATACCGAAGTGTTTTGCAGCTGAAATTGAAAATATGAAGTTACCTCTAATACTAGCTACGTACATACAGTACATTAAATAAAAAGAGTTGCGGCAAGTATTGTTTATACTCTGTACAAATGTATGTAGTGTTTTGTTTTGTTTAGAGAACCAGTAAAATAAAAATACATACAATTCAGAATGACAACATACAGAGGCCAAATTTAAAGAATTTGAGCCGCGGTTTAAATTTAAGCCGTGGCTCATATATGATTGGTTTCACTTAAAACTGTATTAAATTTTTCAAGATTTAAGCCGGCGCTCAATTGAAACCGTTTTTTGGGGGGTATGAGACGCGGCTTAAATTAATTAAACTCGGACACTGATCAGTTAAATTATTTTTCTACGGATTGACCCCAAAAAGTAAAACGTATTCATTAACCGTTTGTTTGAAGATTTAATGAATTACATTGTATACAAGGAGTTGTACAATTTTAAGCTTTATAGTCTGCATAAACAAGCTATTCTAATGTATCTAGGTCTGTAATTGTGTCGCTTAAAGGTTGGAGATATTCTAGTTGTTCTATCTGGAAAAGAGATAAACTTTGTTTAATTTTTTCTTTTCTCTGCTGCGTATAAATCCGCAAGTCTAATTGAAAATTGTATATCTGTGCATTAGCAATGGTAAAATAAGAATGTCGGCATCATTTTGCTGTAAAAACTTGAAAATAAGTCGACAGTCTCTTAAAACAAAAAATTAAACGAAAATGTGGAAGAAAAACTTTAAAGATCAACAATTTAAACATATTTAGACATGGCCGTTTGTTGAGGAATCTAAACTCAAAAATTAACATAATATTATTATTTAAAAATGTCGCGCGGTGAAAACTACTCACATTACCCTTTAAATATTTGCCATTACTTGCATTAAAACAACTCAGATTTCAATGAAAACAATTAAAAGAAAAAATTGAAAACTGATAATTCGACAGAAATACAAAAGCTGACAATTGTTACTTTGCAACTGTCGGAAAAGTTCTTTTTAACTTTAACTTTTAACTGTCGTTTAGTTTTTAATAAACCTCCATTTAAAGAGAAGCAACCCCGATTCCCAATTGAACCCTTGAAACGTTTATGTTGTCCTTAATTTTGGAGATATCCACGTATTTTATCTCTAAAAAAGTGTTTAATTTTGACAAGATCCTTCGTTGTTTCGCATCAAGAAATCTGCAAGTCATGGATATTTGTTTCATTCTTCATTAGATAACGTTTTTAAGAGTATTGTTGAGAATTGAACATGCCTCACATTAAATGTAGGTTCCATAGACCCTTAACAGAATTTAGTTTTATGGAAGAATCACATTTTTAACGGAATACCCAATTTAAAGTATAAGAATGGCAAACTTTTTAATTAATTTAGAAAGAAAAATTTATTCCGCAAACAAAAATCCATTGGAATACCATTGCACATTGTTCACCCTTTAACCTTTCCATTGGAATGCCATTGGTGTCACATTGAACATCACCGAAACAATTCATTGAACTGCTATTGGATTTCTACCTTATACCTTTCGGACTACCACAGAAAACATTCTAACTTTTCGGAGTCTAGTGCCATTGTACTTTCCATTGGAAACCTTCCTAACCTTTTGGAGTACCACTGGATTCTTTTGTAACATTCCAATGGAAACTATTTAACCTTTTGGACTTCTTTGTACCATTCCACTGAAACACAAATAGAAACATTTAGATAATTCCATTGGAACAGTACACACTACACACTACACACAACACACAACACACAATACACTTCACACTACACACTACACACTACACACTACACACAACACACTTCACAGTACACACTACACACTTCACACTGCACACTGCACACTGCACACTGCACACTGCACACTGCACACTGCACACTGCACACTGCACACTATACACACTTCACTTCACGCTTCACACTTCACACTTCTCTCTTCACACTTTACTCTTCACACTACACATGTCCAAATTTAAACTTTTGTTTTGAGTTTTGAAAACAAATACAGGTTTACTGCAATAAGCGATACTTCTATTTGGAAGCGCAAAGCTATGTGATTGATGGCCACCCTGAGCTATTTCTCTGGTTATGGTTCCTAGGTTAGCTAATAGATCTAGTATACTTTAAGGTTTTTCTCTGGTTATGGTTCTTAGGTAAGCTAGCTAGTAGATCAAGTATAATCTGAGCTATTTTTCTGCTTATAGTTCCTTGGTAGGCTAGTAGATCTAAGCTATATTTCTGGTTATTATTACTAGGTAGCTAGTAGATCTAGTATAATCTCAGCTATTTCTCTATTTATGGTTCCTAGGTAAGCTAGTAGATATAGTATACTCTCAGCTATTTCTCTATTTATGGTTCCTATGTAAGCTAATAGATCTATTATACTCTCAGCTATTTCTGTACTTTTGGTTCCTAGGTAAGCTAATAGATCTAGTATACTCTCAGCTTTTTCTCTTTTTTATGGTTCCTAGGTAAGCTATTAGATCTAGTATACTCTCAGCTATTTCTCTATATATGGTTCCTAGGTAAGCTAGTAGACCTAGTATACTCTCAGCTATTTCTCTGTTTATGGTTCCTAGGAAAGTTAATAGATCTAGTATACTCTCAGCTATTTCTCTATATATGGTTCCTAGGTAAGCTAGTAGATCTAGTATACTCTCAGCTATTTCTCTATTTATGGTTCCTAGGTAAGCTAATAGATCTAGTATACTCTCAGCTATTTCTCTATTTATTATTCCTAGGTAGCTAATAGATTTAGTATGCTGTAAGCTATTTCTCTATTTATGGTTCCTTGGTAAGCTAGTAGATCTAGTAAACTGTAAACCATGGTTTCTAGGTTTCTTTTCATATGAGCTATTTCCGTGGATTATTAAATTCTGAGCTATTTCATTAGATTTAATTTAACTAATTTTGCAGGTTCAGACAGTGAAGAGATCTATTATAGGTTAGTTTATTTCTTCATCTATTTTTTTTTGTATTTTTTTCTTTTTTTTCATTTATTTAGTTATCCTTTGTTTAAAAAATTTTAAATTTTTAGTTATTAAGGTTTCCTTTGTTAAAAAATTGTTTTACTTTTTTATTTATTAGTTATTTATTTTTCCCATTATTCGAACATGTGACTATAAAAATGGATGATTTATGTTTAGATATAATTTAACAGATATCCATGGTAAATCTGAATATTAATGTTTAGATATAATTTAACAGTTATCCATGGTAAATCTGAATATTCCTACAAGGGACCGGTCATTAGTCTAATGAGGTCGGCAACAGAGGTAAATTTTTATTTTTAAATTTAAATTCAAAAAAAGAGGAATATCTCAGAATCGTCCATATGTAATATGGAGGGTCACTTGAACCTGTATCTACAGTTTCTTAAAACATATCATCTTCTACAGTTCCTTTAAACATATTATTTTCTACAGTTCCTTTAAACATATCATTTTCTACAGTTCCTTTTAACATATTATTTTCTACAGTCCCTTTAAACATATCATTTTCTATAGTTCCTTTAAACATATCATTTTCTACAGTTCCTTCAAACATATCATTTTCTACAGTTCCTTTAAACATACCATTTTCTACAGTCCCTTTAAACATATCATTTTCTACACCTTTAAACATATCATTTTCTACAGTTCCTTTAAACATATCATTTTCTACAGTCCCTTTAAACATATCATATTCTACAGTTCCTTTAAACATATTATTTTTTACAGTCCCCTTTAAACATATCGTTTTCTACAGTTACTTTAAACATATCATTTAATGGGTCTCTTAAAACATATAATTTTCTAAGCCTTTACCAATAACCATGACGGTGCACAATATGATTAAAAGTTTTCAAGTTTGTTTGGATTATTAACCTGAAAATAAAGAAATATATTTAATCAAAACTTTAATTAAAAGTTTTCAAGGTTTGTTCAACTAAATAAAGTTTTCATTATTTTTGCTTCTTTTTGTTGCTCACTAACAAGTGGGAACATGGAGGTGTTTTGGATTAACCATTAAACCATCCTTAAGGGACTGAAAGCGTAATTTCAAGTGACCCTCCTTGCAGAGATATCAATGCCCGTTTTTGAAAATCGCTGAAATATACACTTCTCATTTCAGAAAACGAAGTTTTTTCCACATACTGATCCTATTATGTAATGAGGATCCCTTTAAATCTCTTTAAAGGCATTAATAATGTGGAAGATATCGTCTTTATAGCTAAAAAAGTGTTTAATTCTGACAATCTCCACTATTGTTTCTGCAGAAGAAATCCTCAAGTCACATTTAAAGAGAAGCTATAATTGAAAATAAAAAAAAATTTTAAGAGAAAAACATGGAAATCTCATTTAATCTCTCCAGCCTAAATTTTACTTGGAGTGAGCTAATTTTTTTTTTTACATTATTGAAAAAGTCTCTCTAATAAACATTTATTTAAAAAAAAAACGTGCTCGAGGGATTTACTAGCCAACTAAAATCCATTGATCGGTTTTATCTAATGAGAGGTGAAATAACCCCCCTACATTTTCAACATTATTAAAATTATTATTATTATTATTATTCTGTACCTCAGCAGCATCTAAAAGTATCCAATGCAGGGTGTAGAGAAGTTTAGTTTCTGCAGTACCAAGGTTTAAAATCGAACTTTTTCTGCAAAACACACATTTTCTAGATCCAGACAAAAGGAATTTAAAGGGAGTGACCGGCTATGTAAGGTAGTTGTATACTGAGTATCTATTAAAAGCTAGAAACTGTGATATTTTCTACATCTAGAGTGACATTGTGTACATCTGGAGTTCACAACAAATAAGCAGACGTTTACATTTAGGAATATTTAAGGATCCTTTGGATACAGACTGAAGGAATAAAGTCTTTGCCACTTAATATAATCGGACAACTTTCAACTATTTCTCAACCCCCCAAGGCAAAATCCAATCGGCCGGCCCCCGGGGGGGGGGGGGGGGGGCCGGAATGAAGGAATAAAGTCTTTGCCACAACCTCTAATTTTCTATTCCCTATATCATTTCAACCTGATAAAGTCCTTTAATATTTCAAACTTAAATTATTTGATCTAACAGTATTCATAGTTTGAAGTATGTAAGGTCTACGAAATTGTGTTGCAAAGATATAAAGATTAAGAAATAAGTTTGTGGCAAAGACGCAATTCCTTTATAATCAAATTTTATGATTTATGTTAAAAGAGTATTTCTTTAAAAATTGTAAATCTTAAGTATTATTTGCAACAAGTGTCCGTTAGATGGCAGTCAAAACCTTTTGTAAGAATATAGCATATGCAATATCAAATCTACCTGTACTGTATCATGCTTGCAGTACAGTGCAGTACATGAGGGAACGATGCCACAACAAACCTCCATCTGTAAACAGTTTAGATTAGTTACTTTTTTATTGAAATTTCAAAAAGGGGCCGGGTGATTTTGTCAAGAATATGCATATATATTATATAATATATGGGCTAATGATTATTTGATCCGACTGAGACAATTAGGAATTTAGTTACTTTCAAAATTTTTAATTAGCATTGAATTTCAAGAACTGATAGTAAAAAAGCTTGCAAAAAATCAACTTCAGAAGAAAGGAGACTCTAATTCTGTAAAGTGACCTGCTGATTAAACATAAACAACCAATCTTGATAAATCTTGAATAAGTAAAAAGACGACATTAAGTCTTACCTGGGAATAGACTGTAGTGCCTGGGTAAGAGACGGAGAAAGACCAAAATGTATATTTTGAACCAGGACTTTTTCCAGGATCTAATTTAAGAAGTAGTCAATTGATCAATTTGACCTAATTTCAACTTAAAGGGACTGTATGGACTAATTTCAACTTAAAGGGACTGTATGAACTAATTTCAACTTAAAGGGACTGTATTACCTAATTTCAACTTAAAGGGATTGTATGACCTAATTTCTCTCTGAAAATTGAATATTTTTGATTGTGTTTTTGGGAAACTTGATTTGAGCCTTCTGCACTGCAGTAGTAGCAACGGAGAAAGTTGTCAGAATTAAACACTTTAAAGAGAAAAACGGCGAAATATTCCATATTATTGAATAGATAAAGGTCTGAAGGTTATCGTTGTGAATCACGCAGTCCCTTTAACAGTCAAATTAACAACCAACATAGTATCCCACTTTGTTTTCATTAATGCAGATTTATTGTAAAGAAACGGATTTTTTTGCGAAAATTTGGTTTGCAAAATTGAAACAAAAAGGGTGGATTTATCCAAAATATAAACAGATTTTACTTTTATCTTTATCAGATGTTTCTGGAAAAAGAACTTAATTAAGAAAAAGTTCCCAGTAGTACCCATAAAATTATGGAAAATGAAGACGACTCTATTACCAAAGTTAAAAATTTAAACTGGCTGAAATGCCCGGCGTTGCCCGTGGAATTAAAAAAATAATTAAGAAAAAAAAAATTATTTTCTTTTAGCCTTTGTTAGCCCCGGGATACCACCGCGGTTCCCTCAAAAAATGTCCATTCGGTCCAGCCATTTGGCCGGCTATAAGGAACATATACACGATCATGTCTTATTTTATTAAATAGTAGTTCAGTGCTAAGGAAACACAGCAATTGTGGAGTGTAATACAGATACCCATGCATTATAAATGCTACTGCAAAAACCATATGATTTTTGACAACATTAAAAAACATTAAATTGCTTTAATGTCGTCTTTGTACTCTAGAGTTATATCACTATATACAGTTATATCAGTGAGACCTATTTAGTATATATAGGTCTCACTGTGTAGAAATAGCACAGATAAAATGATTTACTTTAAAATAAAAAAGGAAGTATTTAGTAAAACTTGGCTACTTTCCATATGTTTCAATTTTAGCACTGTTATAAAAACAATTCGAGGAACAAAATAATAATACTTTTAATCTTTTATCTTACAACTTGCAGAACATTTGCAAACTTAATTCTTTTTTGAATTTCAAGTTACATTCAATTTAAAAAGAAACATGCACGATTTACAACTTAACTAATTTTTAATAATTTACTCTTTTGTTTCGGAAGCAGAAATGCGCCAGTCTCTATACCATGATTGAAAAAAATGAATTTGAGAGACGAGATACAACAGATATCATGCATTCTTGAACAGACGCAGCTTTAAAGGGTACTGTTGTGATTTCAATATGCTCCTCTGTGAATTACGTCCAACTAGTATCTTTAAACATAAAACAAAAATATTCGAAATGGCAGATTTTTTATGTAACACTATATGAATTAGAACATATTTTTTTTAAAGAAAATGCTCTGTAAAAGGACTGTAAAGGAAAATTGAAAGGGGGTATAGGCTAAAACCTAAAAGTCCCAGGAGTTGATTGAGACTTATACGTATATATAAGATATATACGTTTTGGTATAATTTTGACACAGTTTTATGTCAATTTCTCGAGACAGGAACATCAAATACATGTCTTATATGTTTCAATCAACTCCTGAGATTCACAGGTTTGAGCCTATACCCCCTTTCAATTTTCCTTTACAATCCCTTTGAGTAAAAATATTCCCGTAAATAATGATTTATTTAAATGACATTTATTAACTTATTATTTAATTTAGGTACGCAACGAAGGCAGATGCTTGGTAATTAGGGAAAAAGTGTGGGATTACATGTCCTATAAGCTTAGAATCGTCAAGGTAAGCTAATCTTCTTTAAAGGGACTGTAAGCGTAATTTCAAGTGATCCTCCATGCAAAGATAGCAATGCCCGATTTACAACGGTACCATTGAAAGCTTTGTCTGATCAAGTTTCTTTAAGCTGCTTATTTTCATTAACTGTGAAAGTTAATTGCGCAATTCTTGTTTGTAAGAAGCAATGGTGAAACTTTTAAAACATTTTTTGAGTCATAAAAACGACATAATCCATTTATTATCAGATTAAGGTTTAATAAAGGGCAATGTTGTAAATCGGGCATTAACATGCTATTTGTGCAAGGAGGGTAACTTTAAGTACAGTCCTTTTAAATTGATGAAGTGAACTGTCAAATAAACATCGCAAATAAAGAGACTGTGAACTGTTAAATAAACATCGCAATTAAAGAGACTGTGAACGTAGTTTCTATGTTTCTATGTTCAACTATCTGGGAACCCAGCGTTGCCCAGGGTACTCATAATTACTCCCGCCGTTTACCCGCACTTAATCGATTTTACCGGTAAACTAATTTTCGCTTTAAAAGTCAACCCACTCACCTTAGAATCTTTAAACCAAGCTAAGAACATTACAGTGGCTCTCCCGAGTTCCTTAATTAAAATTTGAGGCAAATCGGTCCAGGGGTTCCTGAGTCATGATCGGACAAACAAACAAACAAACGTTTCAACAGAGATTACAACTTTATACATGTAGATATTACCCTTCAACCCTTTAACCCGAAAATTGTAAGTTTTTTTGCAATTCTATGTAAATTGTGACCTGGGGATTAATGCAACAGGGACAAGGACAGAAATCTAAAGAATTAACATCTTTTCACGATAGAAAAATGACAATATCTTCTTCATTGTTTCACAGATACCTTTTATATCTATCTTTTATACTAAAAAAAAAATTAAAAAATTGAGTGTTACACCATGTTCGCTTTTTCCATCGTAATTAGGTCGTTTTTTTGCATGAATCTTCTTTCAACATACAAAAAAAATTAAATGTTTAGAATACAAAATGTGTAAAAAATGTGCTACTGATACATAATGCCAAATTTTAACCCGGAAAATTTTGGCAAAAACAACCAAAAACAAAGCAACATTTCAACATGAGAGATGATTCTAAAGAGTACATCATCACCTATCCCAGGTGTTCTTTTAAATGCAACGTTAAAGGGACCAACCCCCGAGAAGTCAGAACACTCAAGAAAATTGCTCTATCGGAAGTACACCAAGCAATGAAATACACAACCTACATCAATCCAGAAACCCGTTTAGACAACTTTTACATAACCCAACACTGTTGGAAAACCCTCAACATCCCAGAAACCCTGAAAAGAGAACTCGAGGAATCCTACATGAATTGTATCAAACACAAGAACAGTGTTGTGATCAGACAGCCCATACACAACATTAAAGTTTATAAAGGTTTTAAATGCGATTTTTTTGTTATTGTTTAAAATTTAACTTTTTTCTCCTTGGATTTAGAATAGTTTTTTGACGGACGAATTGTCACAACAATGCAAACTGTGGAAAAACGTGAGTTTACTGTATGGAAGAACCCTATACCATTTTTATTGTAATATAGAAATCTACAAAATCATTTCAAAACATAATTTGATAGAAAAGCTACAAACTTGGATTTCCAACGAAATTGAATATCCACTTCACGAAAATTTTCCATGGTTTACGCTTCCTTCCTCAGAAAGGTTGAGAAATAGGAAAGAAAATTTTCACAAAATTTCGTATTTTTTCGCTGGAAACCCTACTACAAACAGATGTTCCTGGTTATTTGAACTTTGTCTTGTTTGGTGATTTTAAAATATTTTTCAGAATTTGAAATAAAACCCAATTAATTTGGACAGTTGGTTAAAGCTGTTTGGTGAAAATAATTGTTTATCTAACAAAGCATGCTCATAGGAAATGTAGACATAAGTTTGGGGGAGTCTTTATTTCAAAATTGGCTTTTTTTATTCACAAAAGTAGCTTTTAGACCTCTATCTGCGTAATACTGAGAAAGATATCCATTTTTATCTATCTCTTGACGTGTTGAGAAGATTTTTCTATATTTTTTTTCATTTTAAGCATAGTCATATTCATAAAGAAATCAGAATTGAAAATAATCGATTCTTATTCTAAAAATTATAATTATCTTATTCACCCTGGATCAGACAAAGGTTTAAACGGTACCGATGTGAATCAGACATTCCCTTTTTGCAAAATGTGCAATTTCCCAAGCGGCAACTTTCCAAAGGTTAGGTGAGGCCCTCAGAGGTGCAGCAGGCTGCAAGCGTTGCGATAAGTATGGGCTAGGGGGCCGAGCGCCGCGGCTAGAACAGGCTTGGGGCCAAGCGCTGTAGCTAGGACAGACTTGAGAAGTTGCCGCTTGGGAAATTGCACATTTGGGAAGTTGCCACTTGGGAAAATACCATTGGGAAAGTACCTAGCATCTTTGAAAATGGAGAATAATTATAAATTACGTCTACAGTCTACAGTTTTATGTTTACAATGGATTTTTCTATATATTATTTTAGGTCTGATGTTTTAACCTAATTAGCACCTTACCAGATATATTCAGGTACATTTTTTGGTAACTATTTAATGATATAGTATACACATTATACAGTGAAAATTGAAACACAATGGAATCACTTTCGTCTTTTTTTTATATTTTTCAGTTTTGGTGATTTGGATTATGCTGGGTTGGAGTTGGGTTGGGGTTAGGTTAAGCTGGGTTGGAGTTGGGTTAAGCTGGGTTGGAGTTGGGTTGGAGTTGGAATAAGCAGGGTTGGAGTTGGGTTGGAGTAGGGTCGGAGTTGGGTTGCAGTTGGGTTGGAGTTAGACGTAGTTAAATGACGTGAAGTCAATTTATATTCGTAAAAATGCGGTTTGCGGTTGGGGTTAAAACTACTCAATATTTTCTTAGAAACTACTCGGTAATTAGTTCGGATACTCTTTAGGTCGGTTTCCATAGCATCATAACTCCACTGCAGTTTTGGTTTTCACTGTATTATTTCTTTTTTTATATAACATTTTTCATTTAGTTTTCTGTTGCTCTGAGCCTTAAGAAACATGGAACAAAACCAACATAAACTATGTGACATTTTGATGAATAAAAAGTGTGAAATTAGAAGAAATTGAAATTAATAAAATTGTTGTCCATGACTGCTTGCATAAAAACCAGATTTTCCACATTTTGTTTCTGGACTATGAACAGAATCTTATGTGACCACCACCATAAAATACCGTTTTTCTAAAAATACCATAAAAGAATATATAAGATTTCAGATGGGAAAACAATGTTATCTTCTTCATTTTACTTAGATATTTTTCTATATAAGAAATAGAAATTCCAAATAATCTAAATTAAATTCATAACGATCCATATTAGTTAAGAAAAGATGCAAGATTGTAAAACAAAATTGATACTTTTAGTGGTTTTATGAAAATTGAATACGGTGTTATAAATCTGTTTTCTCAAAGGAACTGGTAGACGTAACTTCAAGTGATTTCTCCAATTAGGAGAAACAAAGAGAAAGGCATCTTTAAATATGTTGAATTCTGATAACTTTCTTCATTTTCTCTGTAGCATAGATCCGCCATTTACTTTAACAGAGAAGCCACAATCACAAGTCAAGCCACATCTTGATTCATAGATTTAATGAGTGAATCAAACAAACTATATCTTTTACAATAAAAGTTCACTTGAAATTACGTCTACAGTTCCTTTAACACCCTTTAATATAAGTTTTTTAATAGAATAATTACAATAAAGGAATAAATTAAAGGAATAAATTCGTAATATTTATTTTAAGAAAGAGTTAAAAAACCTAAATAACGTTTTTGAAAAGAAATATTAGCACTTGAAATCTAACGAAACACGTTTTTTTGCTGTTTTTACTTTATAAACCTTCCCTGGGGTCATGTGACGATGTAAGTTGCTATGAAAAATTGGGCCCAATCGGTTCAGTCGTTTAAAGACGTATATTGGACACACACAGACACAAGCAAAGTTGATAACCATTAACTTAAGACCTCCGTGTAATGTCGTCTTCAACTTAAAATCCCCTCTCGGAGACACCAAACCAAATAATTTCAGCCCCCATTTTCTTTGTTCTCCGGGGACGGAGCCTAAAACACTTTCGATTATTGTGAACCCATAAAAGTTAAACAAGAATATTTTCATATGAAGAATTAGTGAATTTCGTTAAATATTCAACTGTTATTTATTTCAGAAGTTTTAATAAAAAAACGTCCTTCAACACTGATCAACAAAAAGTTACCCTTTATCATCCCCTTATAAATCGTAAGATTTTTTTCCATTATTAACATTTATTATAACATTGTACAAGTAACCATGATCTATAATTTATGTTATTTTTTAGGAAATAAAGCTTTTGTTATCGATTTTCTTGAGACAGGGTTACTCTGTTGTGTGTGTTTGCGGCCAACCGGGAATAAATATCCCCGCACCAGAATTCCGACGGGCCTATTATTCAAGTTTATCTGGTGTGTTGCTGTTATCTGTCAACAAAAGTATATATATTTAGATATTTGAGTCTAAAAAGGTGAGAGGGTCTAGAGAATAAAAGGCCCCAATTTTTTAAAGTCAAGGCAAGGAGATGCAATGCGGATTAAAAATGTTTATTTATTGTGCTAAGGAGATTTTTAAAAAGTCGGAAAAGTACTTTGTATAGATTTGAAAATAGAATTATGGCATGTGACACGTGTTTATGGCATGTGACACGTGTTTATGGCATGTGACACGTCACGTGTTTTTGGGTCGACATTAATTCGGCTTTTGAGTGTACCTCACTAACTCACTTATACTATTTTGAAGCCTTAGACATGTACATTTTAAATCTGTAAAGTACGTGTTTGTTATTTAGATTTTATTAAGAACCTACTTAAGTGCTCGACGTTGTCCGTGGAATTTTAGAAAAACTTGAAAAAAAAATTTGAATTTGAAAAAAAAGTTTGATTTTTTAAGAATGTTCTTCTTGGGTACCCATGGGTTGCCTCAAAAATGTAAGCCATTCGGTCAAACCGTTTGGCCAGTTATAGCTGACATGTATATATGAGCAAAGAGCTTTGTTGTATAGATCGGCAAAATTCTAACATTTTTTACGTGTGAGCTTGCAACCTAGGCCAGTACATAATTTGTAAGTATAACAAATGAACAAAAGAGTTGAGTTTTTTTTAACAAACTCTGATTTTCTAATCTCCATATCTTTGTAACCCAATGTCGTAGACCTTAGATATTTCAAGCTATTAATACTTATAGATAAAATAATCTAAGTTTGAAATATGAAAGGTTTGCACCATAAGATTGCAAAGATATTGGAATCAAAAGATTTTAGTTTGTGGCAAAAACTCAATTCCTTTACAATTGTTACCTTAAAGCATTGATTATCAAACTCCTGTTTATTTCAAGTTCCAGGCCGAAGCTAAACCCGCTTATTGAGTAATTTTAGTAATTAAGAATGAAGGAGATACCCATGTTTTTCTCTTTGAAAATTGTATTCTTTCAGTTGTAGTTTCTCTAAGTTAACATTTAATTGTTAGTTTATGCAATTATCTGCAGAAAAAAAGACGAAAGTTGGCGGTATTTATTTTTATTTTTTTTTTAGTTTTTTTATGTCGTAAATTTTTTTTTCTCAGGAACAGGCATTTCTGTTCGTTAACGATTAAAAAGTTAACGGTTTTACTGTTTTGTTTTTAGTCCCCCCCCCCATTGTTAGTATCACAAGATCTTGTATGGTTTGGTTTGGTTTGGTAAGTTTTCTTTAAACTTTCTGTCTTACAGCTGTTATGTCAATAATTTAACTTTTCCGCATTCTTTCAAAGTTTTGACATCTTAACAGGCATTGTACACTGTACAGCTAAGAAAGGGGAATACAAATTAAAGAACCAAAGTTACCATGGCGCCGTACAGTCCCGACTGGCTTCTATCTGAGGAAAATTCAGAAAATTACAACAGCTTTGGACCAATACTTTTTGAGTTATGTTAAAAAACTACAGTCAATTTAACCCCCTTCCCAGTGGGAAAAGGGTTATGATATATATTATATATATTCATAAAGGTAGCTGCAGTGTCATTGAAAAAAAAACACTAGTTTTCTAGAAAAATACTGATTTTCATTTTCTTGTGGAATTTCGTATTGAGCAAAATTATTTTAAAATTGGTTTCAAATTTAAAAATGAACATAAATATGCTTAACAAGAAACTGTGCAATGTATACAAGCCTATTAGTCGATTTTCAAGCTACGATGTCAACTTCCTATTCTACAGTTTAATGGGTCTAACTGTACATTAAAATAAATACATACAAACATTTTATTTTAAAAACCAATTTTACAAAAAAGGGGCAATATTAATTCCGATAATAAACAGCTTATTGACTAATAACGGACAATTCCGTTTGAACAGAACGGAATCGTTCATGAACGGAATAAAAAAGTATTAATCATGAACGTAATTAAAAAGTATTAACATACCGCCCCATTGTTCTAACACAGGGTGTCTCAATAAACATGAGAATCCAGAGATTTATCTAAAATTGTATTTATTTTTGATAAATATATTGTACGAAAAATATTCCTCTAGTTTTCCAAAAAGTGGTCTGGCTCTTTCTTTGCATCTTTAAAATTGACGGAAACATTAAACATTTGAACAAGTTGTTGTTTTAAATTTGAATAGGAATCTGGGAAAATTTTTCAATATTTCCGTAAATTCTGAAGGTGCAAAAGTGGTAGACCACATTTAGAAAGCCTTAGACTTCGGTGTCAAATGTTTTAACTGTAATTACTTCAAAATTTATGCTAAAGGAATTTAACGCCTCGTTGAAAAAAGACAGTAGGATAATATTGAAGTCGTAAAGGCAAAATCTTAACGTGCACTATTAGTTTCTGCACTGAAACATTTGTTTTTAATATTTACATAATTTGGTCAAATCAACTTGACATTTCATGTTCTTTTAAAGGGACTGTCATTGTAATTTTCAGTGATCTTTCGTTTAAAAAAGGGGCAAGTCTGATTCTTGGAGGAAATTGTTACAATTTTAGGATGGAAATACAACGATATCTTCTTTATTTTTACTCAAGCAGATGTTTTAAGTGTACCATTGTGAATCAAACATACCACTTTATAAATGGATATTCACTTGTAATTACGACTAAAGTCCCTTTAACTAGTTCTAGTTTAAACGTTTCTGATTTGATTTGTTTAAACGAGCCAGGGCGTCTAGCACTTCATCTTCCCGCATTTGCTCAACCTGAAAACAACAATAATTATTCATAAATACTACTTCGGTGTCGCTCTTTGATTTAGAATCAGAACATCTGAACAAGGTCTGTTCCAACCTCAACGTTTGTTAATTTATGATCAATTTAATTTTTTAAGAACGCATATTTTTGCATTCTTCAATTTTTGAAACATGGTAGTTCGTTTCTTTAAAGTTCACCAACGTTTATCGACGCCCAGCCCAAGGCATGAATAATGTAAATAAAAAACGTTTATAGACTACCTTAGTTTTCATTTCTTAAACCTTGGCAGCAGTAACATGAACGGTGAAATTTTGAAATATGAATTTCTGTGTTTTGAATTGCACACATTTTACATTTACTTTGCTAGTAATGGATTGAGTCTTTGACACAAAGCTCAGAATATAAATAATATAGAATAACAGGTGGCAGCATTTGGTTTGGGAAGTGTTGGACTGTGGGGGTTATGCAGTACAATACATAAATGTCCAGATGTTCAGTAATCTTTGGGGGGGATTTTGAAGATTCACTATCCAAACTTTCTCTTGTTATCTTTTTATCATTACTTCAATTAATCAAACACGTATTTTCAAAACTGTTTCAAATAGTTTTCTTCCTTTCAAAATTTGAAAAAGAAAACCAAAACAAAATGGAAATAATTGGGGTAACTTTTCCGCCCCCCCCCCTCCCTCCCTTCGGGCCCGAGCAAGGCCAAACTGTGTAACCTCAAATAATTACCTACAATAAAATACAGAAATGTATTTTTTCACATTTAGATGACCACAGTACTTGGCCAAATGCTTGTTATCTGTGTAACCTCAAATTTTAAGTAATTATCGACCATACCATGCAAAATAAAATGTGCACATTAAGGTGGCCACAGCGCTTTCCATTCAAATTTT